TGATTCCTTAAATTCAATTTTAATACCTTAGACATTGGATGAAATTCTGTTGCAAAAAGGAGCCATTTTTCTTGCTGTTTTGATCAACTGAATTGAGTTGAAATCTTCAACAACATGGAGCCTTGATTGGTTAGTTAGTTAATAACTGAAATGATTCTTTGTTTGTGTCTATAAAATGGTTGCATTAGAAGTGGTAAAAGTGGCAACTCGAAAATAGAGAAAGTGAGATGAGATAAGAGTAGTGAACTCTTGTAAATCTGTAGAAATTCTTTCTGATGATTTCAGATTGTAAATCATGTAAAGTCTTGTGGATAATCAAGGCTGAGGAAGACATTTTTCCTATTCCAAAAATTTGTTCTTCGGTTCTTCTTCTGTTGGTTTATTTCTTCTGCTGGTTTATTGCTTCTGTTTGGCAAATCTGTTATGCTGTTTTTCCTGTATCTGTTTTCTTCTTCAAACCAATTCTGCTGGTGCAACGTGCTCCTTGAAATTTTGTATTAATTTCAGACTTAAAGGAAGTCTTTCAACCCCAACATTGAGCTCCAATCGAAACAAATTTTTAAGGAAGACATAAATTTTGATCCCTCAATGACCTCAAAATCATATCTTTTAGTTATTAGTATCAACTCTCCTCGAGCTAGAAACATATAGTGGAATTCTTCCTAGCTTTAATCTATATAGAGGCTTGATTGTGCAATGTTGACCATAGTAATATTTTTTTAGCTTAAATTAGTTGACTTATAGGGAAAACTTGATAAATAAAAAAAAAGGAGCTAAGCGAAAAATTGTGTCAGTTGAAATTAAATTTTGCGTGACCTATTCAAAAAGCCGATGTGAAAAAATCAATTTTATTTTCATTCTGAGCTGAAAAGATCAAACTATAAGAAGAGACGAAAAGTTTAATGAAAACTGTTGAAAGGATAAGGGTAGACGTAGGATCATGCAAATCACCCTAAGATCTATATGGGGCCTCGCCCATGTGTCTAATCAAATATCTAATTGACTTGGGTAGATTAAAAACAACATAAAATTGGCCTTAACATAAATGTAAATTTAGAACGTCATTTTCGTTAATTTATTCTTATGGGACAACCTTTGTTGGTGACGGGACAATTTGAGAGGCTATTTTCCCCATAAGAGGAGTCGAAACTAGAACTGTATTTTAAGGCAAGTTAAGAACTTAGACCCAGTTTGATTGCAACGAATTTCATAGAAAATATCACTTCCGAGGAAAAGGAATTCTATTTTGGCCGTTTAATTGCAACGTGTAAATGAAAATCGAATTTCAAAGTACAATCACTTTAAATTACATTTTTTTTTTGTTTTTATGGAAAACGAATTCCTATGAGTTTGGCGAGTTTTTATTTTCCAACTAACATGAAATTTGAATTCATTTCCATATTTGCCTATCAAACGGACTCTTAGAGTTGAACTTAAATGGAATTTCGGGACACATTAATTTTTTTTAATCCAAATTTATAACGTTAGAAAAAAAGAGAGAGAAATATAAACGGACCAAACATCATTGTAGTATATATTACTAGAAATCAAGTTTTAATAGCACCGTGAAATGTAATAACTCTAACCAAATCCATGTTGCATAGTTAACTTAAGACTTGCATATGGACAGTCTTTTCTTACGGATCAATTTTAGGAGCGAGTTTTAGTCGATTTGAACATATATTTTAATTTCTAGTATGACTCATTACAGTGAAGTGTTTTCCAATTACCCGACATTTATTAAACAGAAATGCATGCCAGTGGCTTCCATAAATACTCTCTGATTAAAAATAAAATAAAATATTGTTGGAGTACAAAGCAAATGAGGCTAGTTAAATTGTATTGGGAATAGGAGCTTAATGGTCCATTTGAAGTGAATGTGCAATTAAATGAGATTACGTGCTAATGGACCTAATTAAATTTGGCAGCATTCCTCTTGGTTTGTTTGAAATTCAAATCCTTAATGTGAAGTGGCTAATATTTGAATAATCCATTTCTTTAGTGTGAAAGCTTTAGATTTCAAAAAGCAAAAGGAATTGTTGCTTTTGGAGATAGGGTTTGGGAGGAAATGGGAACCATTGTTGACTATCTTAGACACAGGTGGGACCCACCGTTTGCAAAAAGACGGCCATTTTTCTGCTTAAAATCTGCTGAAAATTGGTAACAGACATGCCCTAAATATATATAAAGTAAAAGATTTTTATTCAAAAGTGAAATGAAAAGGCAACGTTGAACTAAAAAGGTGTAAAAGCTTTTCAATTATAAAAAGTCCGCTCAATTATTTTCCACTAAATGGTACATTAAGTTGTGACGTATAAAACTATTTTGGAATGAAGATAATAAGCTTCTATGCATCCATTGTTATAAAATTCTTCAATTCCGAATGAAGATACTAACACATTATTTCTTGTTTATCGACTGGCTCTCAAGAAATTGAATTATCTTTTTTTGGATTTCCATCCATCAATAAGTCTTATAATATTTAAGACCTAAAGATGCCCCTTGTTTGAGGGAATCTCCAATAGCCCTAATTTTTGGTTGTAAAAGCAACCATTCACAAGGGACCAAACAAGTTTGAGTCCATCAATTGTCAATTTGTGTAGGGATAAGAATCCAACGAACAAGATAATGAATTTTTTTTTTTAACTATATGTCTCTATTGAATTATATTTATGGTCCATTTCATTAGGATTTGAAAAGTTGAAAAATGTTTTCGATACTTAGGCCCTGTTTGGGAGAAATTTTAATCAAGATTTTAATCAAAATTCTAGCTTTTAACTATCAAATCAGCCACCATTTTTTACTCTCTCTCACAAGTGGGGACGACTATAATTTTGATTAAAATCCCACAAAAATTGCTCCCAAACACGCTCTAAGAATTACTTATAGTACTGTTTGAATAATTTACTAAAGTTATTTTGTCGGATTATAAAATCTTTTAAAGGAAATTGAAAATCGAAGCAGAATTTATTTCAAATAAGTCCTTAGGATATAGTACCAAACTTGTTTACGCAGCAAGACTTTAAATCGAACAATCATACGAGGACTGAACTCGATAATTGACATTTTTTGAATCATATAAATATATATACACAATCTCCTACCACAGGTGGATAACAGTTTTGGCCTTTTGATTTGGGGTCCTGACCTTTTGACTTGTACAGTTTGGGAGAAATTTTAATCAAGATTTTAATCAAAATTCTAGCCGTTAACTATCAAAGCAGCCACCATTTTTGACTTTCTCTCTCACAAGTGGGGCCCACAGGTTGACTATAACGGCTATAATTTTGATTAAAATCCCACAAAAATTGCTCCCAAAGAATTACTTATAGTACTGTTTGAATAATTTACTAAAGGTATTTTGTCGGATTATAAAATCTTTTAAAGGAAATTGAAAATCGAAGCAGAATTTATTTCAAATAAGTCCTTAGGATATAGTACCAAACTTGTTTACGCAGCAAGACTTTAAATCGAACATTCATACGAGGACTGAACTCGATAATTGACATTTTTTTTTAATCATATAAATATACACAATCTCCTACCACAGGTGGATAACAGCTTTGGCACCCGCCTCTAATCACGGGGTCCTGACCTTTTGACTTGTACGTGGGATACTTTTATGCTTTATATAGAGAAAAAGAATGTATATAAATAACTTTAATACGATTTTTTTTAATTCAGCTTTTTAGAAAGCGCAAAGGAATAGATAGCGCGTGTCTTGGCCGTTGATTGCGGTTGAGAATAAAGTGTTATTTTAATAAAACACACTTTCTCAGCCTTCACTTATTTTGGCATTTTCCGCTTTTTCTCTTTTATCTTTATATATTTTCTTCTTTTACTTGTGGAAGATAAAAGATTTCAAATTTATTTACTTGTTTCAAAAATATACGAAGTTATTTCCTTTTTTAAGTATCAACCAAAAAATGTATACTTAGCATTATTCATAGAATAATTACATGTATTTTATATTACGTCTCTGGCAGTCAATTTAAAAATCAAGGGTTATTATAGACATTTCAGTAACCTGTGATTGGGGGACTTTTTGACTTTCTTTTTGCTAACTCTCAAGCATAACTCATAACTGCACAAGTTACTTTGACTGTGTCCCCATCACAAATATAACATAATTAACTAAATTGCTATTATATACTCTCTAAAAGATTAAATTGTTACAATAACAAATTAAGTCTTTATTTATAGTCGCAACAAAAGAAAGTTGGGTCCTACGAACAAATGGATAGAGACTTGATTAATGAAAAGAAAAATCAACGATCTTCCATTTCTGTTGGACGCTTACGCTTACATCAATCAGTCGAAACCAACTTTCGATCTTAATTTTAATAATTTATCGCATTTAACTTGGTCTATTAAAATCAAGTTACTCCTCCTTCAGTTATATGTAAAATGTAACCAAATCTCACCCAATTTTCTCCTCTCTTAAACGATCTTCAATCCACATTACCTCTATTTGTTGACATATATTTTTAATTTTTTATCTCAGTATAGTCATTTCTACTATATTTATCTTATGAACGCTATGGCCTTTAACTTCTTGCCAAATTGCCACCTGAAAATAAATAAATAAAAGAAAAACCCAACACCGACGCTTCTTAGCAAAAGTAGCCGAACCAAAGCACATGCCTCTGCCCATTTTCATTCCCTCCTCATAAATAATTTCTGTTAAAATAGACTAACTGCATTTATTGATCACTGCCCATTTTATCTAATTTGGCACCTTCCTTCCCATCACAGTTCACACCTCCATATATACTGCCTCTACCTCTTCCTCTTCTTGTCTCTCCCACTATATTCTCTTCTTTCTAAGTATATCAAGAATTTTTGCTGGTAAACTGATACAGCATTGGCATTTTGTTTATATATAGTGCCTGTTGAAAGAACAGATCTGCGTACTGATTCTGTTGATTTTCTTTTTCATTATTTGGGTTGGGATAAGTGAAAAAAATTTAATGGGGAAGAATTTGGGGCTCTGTTTTTCAATGGGTTCTCTGTTTTTGTTAATTGGTATTTTGCCTCTGGCATTGGCTGGCCATGATTATAGGCAGGCTCTTAGCAAGAGCATTCTCTTCTTCGAAGCTCAGAGATCTGGTTACTTGCCCAGAAATCAAAGAGTCCAATGGAGGGGTCATTCCGGTCTCAATGATGGCAAAATTAGTGGGGTAAGTTCGATTTCCTACTGAGCAATTTGGTTTAGTTTTTTATTTCTTGAATGGAAATTACTTTTAAGTACATTGTTGGAATGGTGCAGGTAGATCTTGTGGGAGGATATTATGATGCAGGGGACAATGTGAAATTTGGGCTGCCAATGGCATTCACCATAACCATGATGTCTTGGAGTGTAATAGAGTACGGAAAGCAAATGGCATCTAGTGGTGAACTTGGACATGCCATTGCTGCTGTTAAGTGGGGCACTGATTATCTCATCAAAGCCCACCCTCAACCTTATGTACTTTATGGAGAGGTAAATTTTACTTCTCTAACTTTCAGAAACATGAATTCTTGTGGATTCATAACCACTCGACTCTACTTTTCCGTACTAGTCGACTTTATAAGTGAATTCTGTCGAATGTAGCTGTAAATTGTAATACGTCTCCTACTTCATTTGTGGATGCATTCTAGTCATTTTCGAGTATGTTTGATACTCGATATTAAATGGACTAATCAATATGTTGATTACTTGATTTTCAATAGGTTGGCGATGGAAATACGGACCATTACTGCTGGCAACGGCCGGAGGACATGACCACTTCTAGGGCTGCTTACAGAATTGACCCAAGCCACCCTGGATCCGACCTCGCCGGCGAGACTGCTGCAGCCATGGCTGCCGCCTCCATTGTCTTCCGCCGCTACAATCCTTCGTATTCGGCGGAGCTTCTCAAACATGCCTACCAGGTGTGTTGTCTAACCACTCAAGCAAAAGTGTAACTGAGTGCGCATGTTAGCAAAGATGAGTATAGTAGTAAAACTGTAAAAGCTGTCGTAGTTATTAGGCAGTTATGCCATCATATCCTTCTGTCAGGCAGGTTGGTTGCTGTCGGTGCATTTTAGCTTTTAGCGGTGGGGAGGTTACGCATTTACACCTCGAATCAGATGCCCATTTTAGAAATGGAAAATGCTACGTGTACATAATTTTTTTTTACCTAACATTTCATCTACATTCACAATATGGTGTGGGGACTACATTTTTTGGAGTTTTTTATTCATGTGGGTCCCGCGCACATGTGAGAGGGTGTAACATTTTCTGTAAAAAAGATTATGTACTAATAGTTTTATCCTTTAGAAATAAGAAGCAAACGTATTAACGCAATAAAGGTTGGAAAAATTGCACCGTTCATCCCAACGTATTAGTAAAGTTGCAATTTCATCTCTATTCTTTCGTTTGACAGCGTATGCACCTCACGTGCTCAACTTTGAAAAGGTCAAAATAGTCCTAACACTATTTAAGAAGGGGAAAATATATTTATTAATTACACCACATTTTAATTACAATGAATATCTCTAAACTTTTTTTTAATTTTTACACTTATGTTCTCAACTTGTTTTAATTTTAATTTTTTATCATCAACGCTTTATTAATGTTTACATCTTGTCTATAGAGACGATTTTTATCCAAACTATTTCTTTATGAGGACCAAAAAGATTTTTATCTCTCGTATTTTTAAATAATCGAAATAAATAACTAATACAAAAGTTAAATAAATGATTTGTCCATTTTTCCAATGCACGTTATTAAAATATCTGGATGAAAATCATGATTAGAGACAAAATATGTTAATTAATTGAAGGTTAAGAATGACAATGTAACGAGAAAAAAGTTGAGGACATAAAAGCAAAAGTCACAAATATTGGACACCCTTCTTGTAATTAAAATGTGGTGCAAATATAAAAAAATTGTTGTTTTAATCCTCTAACAAACCAGTTCCAATACACTATTTGGACATTATTACTTATTTTCCTGTCCCTTTTTGTTTCAGCTGTTCGATTTTGCAGACAAATACAGGGGAAAATATGACAGTAGCATCACAGTGGCTCAAAAGTACTATCGATCTGTCAGTGGATACGCCGTATGTGATTTCACCTCCAAAAACGTTTCTCTAAAAATAATCAAATTTATTTTAACTAATCGATGATCCAACTACAGGATGAATTGCTGTGGGCAGCTGCATGGTTGTACAAAGCAACAAATAATAAGTACTACTTAAACTACCTAGGGAACAATGGCAATTCCCTTGGAGGTGCAGGGTGGGCCATGACTGAGTTCGGTTGGGATGTTAAATATGCTGGGGTCCAGACCCTAGTCGCCAAGGTAACTCGTCTATGTAAATTCTTATTTTCGAAATCGTATGCATGTACTTCATATAAATTTACTGTCAATTGCTATCTAATCATCCTATCAATATTGTGCAATGATTTTTGTAGTTTAATTTTCATCTACATTACTTGCATGTTACAAAATTGGAATACTTTCTTGTTGCAGTTCCTGATGCAAGGCAAAGCAGGTCATAATACAGCAATCTTTAGAAAATACCAAGAAAAGGCCGAGTTTTTCATGTGTGCGTGCCTCGGAAAGGGAACGCGCAACGTTCAGAGGACTCCCGGAGGCCTCATTTTTCGACAGAGATGGAACAATATGCAATTTGTCACAAGTGCCTCATTCCTTCTCACGGTGTACTCTGATTATTTGTCCTCTGCTGGCAAGTTCCTCAGGTGTGCTTCGGGCAATGTGGCTCCATCCGAACTTCTCTCGTTCGCTAAATCTCAGGTGAAAATTCCTCCCAATAACCAGTCCAAATTGAATTCAATAACTACACATCATGTGTTACTGAAGTCTTGTGCAATCTTTTAGGTGGACTATATTCTTGGAGATAATCCAAGAGCCACGAGTTATATGGTGGGATATGGAAACAATTTTCCGAGAAAAGTTCACCACAGAGCAGCATCTATTGTCTCCGTTAAGCATAACCCTTCGTTTGTGAGTTGCCGAGGTGGTTATGCCACATGGTTTAGCCGTAAGGCAAGCGACCCCAATCTGCTTACCGGTGCACTTGTTGGTGGACCGGATGCCTATGACAACTTTGCTGATCAAAGAGACAACTACGAGCAAACAGAGCCTGCTACTTACAACAATGCACCCCTTCTTGGTACATTGGCACGATTACACGGTGGTAACAGAGGATACAATCAACTTCTTCCAGGTTTACTTACTAAAATCAATGATTCCATTTCTGGGAACTAAAATCTTATGACTTGTATTAATTATGCATTTTTTAAATCAGTGGAGCTTCCCTCACTTAAACCGATTGCTAGTCAACCAAAGCATGCTCCAAAACCTGGGACAAATCCAGCTCCAGGTACCTTTCCTTCATTATGAAGTGACGGTTTGTATTGTAAAGTGGACTACACTGTACAGCTCACTATCATGAAAGAAACAGAAGTCAAAAACCTGTTCATTGTACTATTTGATAAAATCGGGTACTATGTATCAAACATGCCTCGTGGTGAACATGTCATTTTGGAATTGTACGTCTTAACACTGGAAACTGTTTTTCAGCTTCATCTGCCACTGCCAATCCAATTTCCATTGTTCAGAAGGTGACAACTTCATGGATTTCCAAAGGAAAAACTTACTACAGATACTCTACAAAAGTGACAAACAAATCTTCGAAGACTCTTAAGAATATAAAGCTCTCAATATCCAAGCTCTATGGTCCTCTATGGGGTCTCACGAAGTCTGGGGATTTCTATTTCTTTCCAGCATGGATTAAATCTTTAGCAGCTGGTAAAACTGTCGAGTTTGTGTATATCCACTCGAGTTCTCCTGCAGAGGTCTCGGTATCAAGCTATGCTCTCGTCTAAGATGAGAGAAGCTGTTTATGAAGAGAAATTCACATGGTTTCTATATGATATTATAATGTAAGAATTGTGCAGCTATACAAGACACTGACCAAAGGTCTTTTCTCGTTTTGAATTACCAAGTTTCGATTACTTGTTGATTTGTGATCTAAGTAGGGATTTTGATGGGAATATGGTTAATAAGGTCGAGGTGGGAAGAAGAAAGGAGTGAAGAGACAATTTAGAACGGGTTCTCATCCTCTTTCTTTGCCGCTTCATCAGTTACAGAAAGAGATTGAGAGAGAGAGATTAAAGATGAGTATGAGAAGTCAACAAAGCTTAGAAGTTTTATGTTTTCTAGTACTTCATATCCGGTTTTAAGTATTGTTCTGCATTGCCTTTTCTTGTGTTTGATGTTGTAAACTCCACAACATTTCTTATTTTGGAATTTTAATATATATATATAATTTGTGCAAATATCATATATGTCCCTTTGTGGGTTCTCTTTTATCAGTCTGTTTCTAGACCCAATAAAATAGATTTTCCTTTCTTGCCTTTCTTCGTTCAATATTATGGTGTTCCAAGCTAAAAATTTGCGAATCGTGCTACAGCAATACAATGATTAACATAATTTTTGACATAAAGTCACACGACATTCCATTATTGGACCATTTTAAACACAGTCAACATCTCCATCAAATCATATGTTGCCAATTAGGATTATGTCACTGTATCTATTACAATTTTTCTATCAAAGTAGAAACATCCAAAACTTAAACAATACAAACAAAAAAATGGATTGTAAAAATGGCAGCTTCAATTTGATTTGATTGCATTGACAAGCAGTGCATATGACTACAATAGAATAAACAAGATTTCTATTTTTATTTTTTAGTATTATCCGGTACTATCCAACCTCCGTGGACATATTTCATAAGAAGACTGAAATTACCCTAAGCTGTACACATTCTAAAGGTACCAGATTTGATCAAATTATTCCAACCTCAATAGCATCAAGCTGTCCTTCTTGGATCGAGGACTTCATAGCAAGTACAGACTTTCCTTGTTTTTGGACAATCGAAATGAAGTCAAAGATCTGAATTATTTCGTGAATAATTGAATGCCAAATAAGCAGAAGGGCATAAAATCAGGATCCAAATGTTAAATTCACGTATTTCAGAAGGCGCGTCTGAAATAAATATTGCTACATCAAAACAAAAACACATTATCGCCTATTCTACCCATGACTAGGGCTGTCAATGGATTAGATTTTGATCCGAATCCGACGAAATTAATGAAAAATGGATTTAGGGTCTCAATCCGATAACTCGATCAAGATCCGAATCCGTTAATTCGTTAACTAAATGGATCAAAATGCATTGCCTTTTCTTGTGTTTGATGTTGTAAACTCCACAACATTTCTTATTTTGGAATTTTAATATATATATATAATTTGTGCAAATATCATATATGTCCCTTTGTGGGTTCTCTTTTATCAGTCTGTTTCCCGACCCAATAAAATAGATTTTCCTTTCTTGCCTTTCTTCGTTCAATATTATGGTGTTCCAAGCTAAAAATTTGCGAATCGTGCTACAGCAATACAAGGATTAATATAATTTTTGACATAAAGTCACACGCCGTCCCATTATTGGACCATTTAAACACAGTCAACATCTCCATCAAATCATATGTTGTCAATTAGAATTATGTCACTGTATCTTTTACAATTTTTTTTATCAAAGTAGCAACATCCAAAACTTAAACAATACAAACAAAAAAATGGATTGTAAAAATGGCAGCTTCAATTTGATTTGATTGCATTGACAAGCAGTGGATATGACTACAATAGAATAAACGAGATTTCTATTTTTATTTTTTAGTATTATCCGGTACTATCCAACCTCCGTGGACATATTTCATAATAAGACTGAAATTACCCTAAGCTGTACACATTCTAAAGGTACCAGATTTGATCAAATTATTCCAACCTCAATAGCATCAAGCTGTCCTTGGATCGAGGACTTCATAGCAAGTACAGACTTTCCTTGTTTTTGGACAATCGAAATGAAGTCAAAGATCTGAATTATTTCGTGAATAATTGAATGCCAAATAAGCAGAAGAGCATAAAATCAGGATCCAAATGTTAAATTCACGCATTTCAGAAGGCGCGTCTGAAATAAATATTGCTACATCAAGACAAAAACACATTATTGCCTATTCTACCCAGGACTACGGCTGTCAATGAATTAAATTTTGATCCGAATTCGATTCGAATCCGACGAAATTAATGAGAGATGGATTTATGATTTCAATCCGATAACTCGATCAAGATCCGAATCCGTTAATTCGTTAACTAAATTGATCAAATATAGATATAAGTCAATCCGATCCGATAACAATATGATCCGATTTGTTATAAATAATTGAGTAAGTAAAATATTTTTATAACATATTATTTGTCGTTAAAATAAATAAATTTATAATAAAAAAGTTATCAAATTTAAAACATAAAAAAGTCGAAAAATTTATAATTATTAAACCTGTTTAAGAATTGGAAAATTTGGAAAAAAAAAAAAAAAAAGTTGATTTCAACCAATATTTTAAAAAAAATTTCTTATTTTTTAACCACACATTCGCCATCTAATTACTATTTCAAAATAAATTTTTGACCAAAAAATATGAAACTCAAATAGGCTCGTAATCTCCTAAAAGCTCAAGTAGAGCCTTTTAGAGAAGTTAAAGCCCCTATTTGGCACTCATTCTCATTTTTTCTTTTTCTTTATTTCAACCACAAATTCTTCAAATAAAATAATATTACACATAAATCTAAAACTTTTCCGCCACACATTCTCCCATCAATCACTATTCCAAAAATTCTATTTTCCAAAAAATGGGTGTCAAACACCCTAAAAAGTTGTGACTTTTCTAAAACAACTTTTTTAAGTTGTTCTTTTGGTGAAATATTTGAAAGAGATGCGCTTTCAAGCTCAAGAGCCGAAGTATTATATTTGGTTATTTACTAAAATCGCCCTTTTGAAGGGGAAGGATGGATTCTTAGTATGAACAATCTATAAGATACCATCAGAGGACATGTATGGTTAGGTTCCATAAGTGCTTTTACACACTGAAAAAGCCCTTAAAAACACAATGTTAATCCCAATGTATTAGACGTACCCATAATGTTATATGAATCGCAAACCAAAAACACGACCACAACACATTGGTAACAAAATCTCCACTAGCAATAACATTTAGTATAATAGATTAGACACAACTAAAAATGAATCATCTGCACCCGACATGTAGAGAACAGAAAATAAATTATGAAATAGGTGAGATTAACAAGAAATTACAAATCTCAGAAGTATAATTTCTAGAAGCAAATACTAAAATATTCATTTAATCAAAGTTACTCATTGATGCAACAAACATCTATAATTACAGAAGCTGTGAAGTTGGCATAATACTTCCTCAGTTGTTCCCCAAGGCAATTCAAATACTATGCTTAAAATTCTTGACCAAAAATTTCTACATGCCTGTAACTTGAAACTCCTATTAAACCACATGCCTCGTATAAAATATGTTATTCGAAAAAATTGCATTATGTCTATTGGCACAATAGAGGAGCAATACATATTATCACCTTTTCCTTCCCTTCTTCCTTCCTTTGACTTCTTTTTCCAAGCTTTTAAGCCTTTGATTAAGAACAGCTGAAGAAGGGATTCTTGGAGTGGTAGGTTTTGATGCTTCACCAGGTGATGATTGTAGAGACTTCTGTTGTTGGGCTGCTGCATATTTTTTGAGTGCTTCGAAAAATGAGAAGGCGGGTTTTTTATCAGTCGAAGAAGGAGGTGTCACGGGTATTATGGGTATACCCAAGAACTTTTTCATCTCGGGGTTTCTAATAACTGAAAAGAAAGAAAGCAGAAATTACTAGGAAAGTACAACTGCAATAAAGGTTAAATGGGGTAAAAAAATGATAAAACGGGGGGGCGGGGGGACAGTTTCTTGGTAAATGAGTTGCCAGGACTAACCCAATCCATATGTGAGCGAGAACAGGTTGGAGGTAATCCAATAACAGAATATAGCCTGTAAATATTATAGATAATCGATGTAAATGTCTTTCCATTGATAAATCGAACTAATCATTTACACAAATTCCATTAAGAACTATTCCCAACCAATGGCTATTGATCAACATGTGGGACTATAGTGCATCTAAGCCCTTCGTGCAACATAAAAAGGGTTAAGGCCTTCTATCAGGAGAACTGACGGATAAAAGTCTTCCCTAGATCCCTAGAAAAAACATGGCAAGATACTAAAAATAATGTTTCTCCTCAAAACCATCTAGCAGAGCATTTAGGTCATGAGCATGCTTGGCTAAGCTTTAAAATACGTAAAAGTTTAAGCAATATTTTGTTTCCAAACATGTTTGGATAAAATACTCGGTCTCAGGGACGGATTTAGGGGGCCCGGTCCAGCCCCCAGCCCATTTTTTTTTTTTACGTATTAGCCCGGTCTATAATTCGATCCTGGATCCGTCCTGCTTGGTCTAATACCAACTCGTATCTTAGCCTATGTTCGACTCCCTTTAAAACAAAACAATTTATTTCTCTTATTTATTTTCAACCACACATTCACACAATAAAATATTTTGCACGTAAATCTAAAATTTTTCCCCACCTTTTAATCACACATTCTCCAAAAAATCGATATTCAAAACATCATTTTTACACAATAATGGCCATCAAACAAAAGCTTAGTGTCAAACTTAGTAACTTATTTCTAATTTTGATCAATAACATAATTATTTAGTTTAAATCCTTCTTAAGCTTAGCCAATTCAAACATGCATTAAGCCCAATTCTTGATCATCCTTTCAAGTTTTTCTCATTTCACAATGACAAATATGAGTGTTTTATCTTTTTTGTCATGTTAAAAGAATGCTTCTATACATTTGCCATATACCTTCAATGTTCTAGTGTTGACATTCGTTCGTTTTGCTATCTCAATAAAGTTTCCAATGCAACCTCTTCAATTTTCCTTTTGTAAAGAACAATCAACAATGAAGTATAACGCAAATTTTTGTAGAAGTAAATGCTGCAACATGTACCTTGGGAAAACCTGCGGTAAAAGGAATTGATAGGGCAGCAAAGACCCTCGAAACATTCTTGATAGTTTTAGCAGCAGGATTTCCTTCTAGACCTTCTTGAGCGTTGCACTGAGAAGAGAACAAACAAGACAAATTCAATGAGGCACATCTAAAAGGAATTTAAAAAATATTTAGACGAATCTGGTGATAATCAGAAACCATAAGAATAATTGAGCTGGACCTTACACAAGATTCAGGAAAGACCATCAGGAGAAATCAATTAAGTGAAGCAATATACACCTCACAGGTCAAGCCATTGTTGGATTTAACAAGAGAACATATTTCACTGGTAAAGAAATTATACTCATTGAATTTGACTTCTCTCTGCTTATATAAGCTAATTAATTTTATAGATTACTCGTAGAAGTGTGATAATTCAAGCCTTTCAGATATACAATTTTGTAGAATCGTTATAATCAAATACGTTCCGACACACTATTTGAATTCTAAGATATCCTTTCAATACCATTGGTCCATAATCTATAAATGTAAGATCCAAGGGGGTCGCATTATCACGCAAAGTACAGCTAGGGTTCAGAAAGTCAAGTTGGATAGGAGTCGAGACTGAAAAAGAATAAATATTAAATAAAACAAATCTGTTGAAAGTACACCCTTCTAAACAGACACCGTGACTAGTAATGCCATAGTAATAGATTAATCAAAGTGATGACAATTAGTAATTGACATAGGACAATATTTTTCTTTAGGAAAACTGTATTTGTTTTGACACAATAATAAATCTCCTAAGGAGCACTGGAGAGTGCGTAGACTCTAAACTTCATTGTGTTACAAGATTACATGTATCTATTAGCCAGTGGAAAAAAATTGCAAATCTCTCAACATCAAAATGTATATTGGGTGACTGGAGAAATAATGCTCCTTACAACTTGTTTTAACGTTACAAGACCAAAACAGCAACCATAGTACCAAATGCTGAATTCAACTTGCAGTTATAAGCTGTCATTTTTTAATTTTTCTTTGCTTCACATTAACAATATTCAGATATCTATGACAATAAAAATCAACTTTATATGACACGTCCCAATAAAAAAATTATAACTCCCCAATAAATGATCATGTAATAGAGTTTTGCTGGAGATGTAGCTTTAAAACATGCAGCAGAGCCACACGTTATTCCCTCAATCTTGACAGCATATAGAGTGGATTTTGACATACTAAGGAAGCCTGAGTGCTGTAGATTTTCTATGATTTCCATTTATTAAATAATAGAGCCTAAGTGAAGAAAGGAGTTCAATGAAACCTCGAATCGTCAATAATCCTCATAGAGGTAAAACTGAACATATCTTGACAAATAAAAGAAATAAAAAGTGATTAAAAATACAGAAAAGGGTGCTAACCTCCACTGTTATCCAAAATGTCAATGCCGTCAAAACTGGAAAGATATACATGCTATCTGGAGTTGTCAAATCGGTAAACCAAAATGCTCCGCCCTGTTTAAAAGAAGGAACCTTTTCCACCATGTTTGAAATCTGCAAATAAAGAATGATGCGATGATAAATATAGAAAAAGAGTAAATAAAATTCTTCAACGTGTAGTAACATGGAACAGAATCTTACAGCAAGGAAAAAACTGACAAAGATGGGACCTTGAATAAAAAGTCCCTTCATCGGGGTAAATGGCGTCACACCATATCTGCAACACCAAATAAAATAAATGTAATGACATTGTTTATTCAAAATATTCACCCAAAGAGTTGAAGTATCATAAATGTTGTAACTTAGACCTCTTCAAATATCCTCGATCAAGATAAGTTTGTAATTTTTTTTTTCTTTTTTAGGCAAGGAGGGAAATGGATGAGTTGAACGATCTTCGGAAGCCCATGCCAAGCTCAACTTTAACTCAAGCTAACTTTTTGAAGTTGCATTCTAGATCGTAGCTAGAATCTAAATAGTGCTTGACTCAATCTAAAATGAAGCTCAAATTACATAGCTAACTTTTTGAAGTTACATTCTAGATTGTAGCTAGAATCTAAATAGTGCTCGACTCAAATCTAAAATGAAGCTCAAATTACATATAAAGCTTTTTGTTGTTTCCCAATTTCTCTACCAAAGAATAACTAAATTCCTTTATAGAATAGATTATCTTACTAGATCGTAAATTTAGAATTATATAGCAGCAGAATGCATGCAGAAAATTTAGAGGTGCAAAGATGCATATTCATATAATATACAGACAATCATACATCAGTACATTTATTAATAGCGATACACACACAACAACTAGGTTTAGGTGGAGGCCTAAAAAACCAGCCTAAACTTATCTGGTATTTTAAATAGAAAAATTCATACGATAGTACATGTATAAATAAAATAAGCATATGCATATGCATATATTTATACAATTTCTATGTACATAACAAACATGTGTACATATATTATGCAAATATTTATGAACATTATACTATTATAAAAAACACATAATCAAGAAATAAGCTGCTTTCCGTATAAACAAGTGTTACATATCAATAAGCAAAAATAATGACTTCTGATCCAATCCAACTAATCGTCTAAGCAGAACATTTTCGAATTTTAATGAATTTGGACACTATATCCGACTACAGAGATACTATGATGGCTATATTTATCACTGACAAGGAAAAGTTGCATACTCCTTGAATAGTGCCTGCATCTGTGCCTGACCTTCAGCAACAGCTGAGGGACTCATGCCCTGCAAAACAATGACCAAAGCGTGACAATAAAAATAAATAAAATAATAATGAAAATTAAAATAAATAAAAATAAAAAAAGGATTACAGATAATTGTGGAAGGTTGGAGGAAATAGAAACTAGACTTTATTTTTTCCTATGAGTTTAAAACTCCAGGAATTATCATAATTGTTTCATTATTACCAATAGAATAGAAGTCATTTGCTTGCAGAATTCATTTCAAAGCATAAGGAACATAAGTAACATCTGTAGTCAAGACTCATCTACATGCACTGTCTAAGTTCAGAAGTCATCCAACTGTTTTATTAGTATTATTATTATTATTATTATTATTGGAGAGAAGACCACAAAACTAAGTAAAATAACGTCATTACTGCATTCAGGCCATTCTAGAAAACACGATCAAGAAAAACCACGTAAAACAAGTTCTGGAAACATTTTTTATCAACAATAACAAACATGAGTCCAAACACCGTACCCTATTTTGCATATCTTCTTTGATCTCCTCCAACCGTGGCCTCAAAAGCTGCACAAGATGTACATGTCACTAAAAACATGCTTGTATTCAGAACTGTCAAGCAATATTATAAGTAAGTTCACGTGTTACAGCTTTGACACCATGAGACAAGAACTAGTATTGTATAGAAACTCTGCAAAATGACAAAAGCAATCACAAACTATGGTTGTTGTAGCAAGTACGTCCCTAACCTGGCAAGTGTGCAATGCCAGCCTTTGGTCCCTAGCCAACGGGTTTCAGTGCAAATTGTAATAAAGGTAAGTGAAACAATGTTTGATGGGAAGAATAGGTATACCAAATAATGTAAGGAGAAATTTTTTTGAAAAATCAAAAATCAAAATAAGAAAAAATAGCAACCCGCCTACTCATGCTCCCACCCCACCATCCCCTGCAGCTTTCCCCACCTTTCCCACAATTCAGTCCAACCTAGGTGGATAGCAGTTTTGGTTTTTATTTTGTTTGGTTTTTTTTCTTTTTTGTGTGTTGGGGGGGGGGGGGGGGGGTGGTGTTATTTATATATATTTGTTTGTTTTAATCAAGAACGAGGGTTATAAAATATATAGAAAGTTCAATGTGATAGTGAAGTTCCAGGAATTGTCAAATTTAATATATTATGGAAGAGATGCGAGGACACAGATATGGCAACTAATGTTACGAATAGATAGATAAAATGCACAAAACGAACGAAAATGCAATAAGAATGTACAGAAACTTACAGTAAATTTTGAAGTGGCTTTCAGCTGATTTATCATAAGAGGAAGAGTAATGCTTCGAATCAAAAGAGTTGTCAAAACAATTGATGCCCACCTAAACAAAATTAAATTTTAAAAAGGACCATGAATTTAGCTACTTAAGTATTTAAAACAATACAAAGCACAACCAACTCAATCTAGATTCTGTGCATATATTAAAGAACCAAATTATTGCATCAAACACAAATCTAATCTGTCATAGCACCTTAAATGGTCATTGTCCATTGCGGACTAATACAATTGAGAAGACGTTAAGGTATCCAATGTTACACCGAAATTTTAATGCAAGTGTGTGGATGCAACAAGGAGCAACGTGCATAGCCTCCCTGTTCATCTATTCATTTACCCATGAGAATATCCATAATCAATCCAATCTCTAGAACGCACACACAAACCACTTATCATGGATTAGGAGCTAGGCATGGCTGATAAGAGGATAACTATTCCAACCCATTATATTTTGCACATGTAATCACCAAATTTTACAATGTATTTCAATTAGTCATACTTGTAAATTATCATTTCTTCAAAACAGTAGTATTTCATAAACAATGAAAACAAATTAAACTAGGTGATACAGTACCAATTAAACCCGCTGATACTGTGGACATAATCAGTCAAGTACTGGAGCGCTGCCACTGGGAAGTACGAGTCTGCAGCTGCAATTGCCACCTCATTGACCATTGGCCCCGCCTGTGCAGCCACCTCAGCAGTATTTTCCCCAAACACCTCCGCTACATCGCTCATAATCTCAATCTTATCCACTGCCCCTTCACCAACACTCACACTCGACATGTATCTCCCAAAAACCGGCCAATAACCCACTGGACTCAAAAATCTCCGGTCTTGGAACAAGTTTCTCGACCCACTGAAAGTGCTGAAATCATTTCCGGTCCTGAAAAATCTCCCTTGGAAATTGTTACCTATATTTCGATTCCCTATAATGGGGGCATCGCTCAGGGTTTTACGCTCATCGTCATCACGATGAGTACAAGCAAATGAAGGAGCAAAACGTTGCCTCTGTTCATAGAGCAGCTTCCCTGTGAGACTACGTCTATAAGCCATCAATTTCTCTCCCTGCAGTAAAGAAACACATAAATACAAATTACTTTCCCTTTTTTAGTTCACACATACAAAAATCATAGATCTTTACGGTAATTACTGAAAAGGGTTTTACGATCTCTAATACGAACAGAGAAAGTAAAGTGAATTTCAAGACACAGAACTTACTTCAAAGTTACGCAGATCGATTTGTGGACAAAATATGGAGAAGATGGCGAAATCGGGTTTTGCCCGTTTTGAGGGTTTTGGGAGGGGGTGATACCAGCGTAACCAGCGTAGGTTAGTTGGGAGCACAGGGACTCGTGTGCTCTATTTTAGAGAGTATGGGACTACCACTGTAATTGTTTTGTTTTAAAAGGGTACATTTCATATTTCCAACCTTAGCCATGAATAGCAGTCATACCCCATCTTTTTTGACCGGTTTTATCCCCCAACCTATCACTAACAAAATTTGTGCTTTTACAGTTTACTCTTTCCATCCATTATCCATGGATCAATTTAAAGGCAAAATGGATCGAAACCATACAAAGAGACAAATCTTGCTCATTAGTAAAATGTTAGGGGTTAAAAGTGGCAAAAAGGACTGTGAATGGACTTTTGTAAATTATTTTTACGCAATGACTTTCTAAAATAAAGAAGATCTTATATTTAGGGTGTGTCTCGCATTGATTTTATCCAAATTAGTAGTACATTTTTTACCTTTTTTTTCAATTGCTGGTCAAATGTTGCGGCTGTAACGGTTGAGATTTCAATTAAAATCTGTCAGTTAATTACCTCTAGACATAACCTTAAAAAGTCTTTGAGAGATACTCTTACATATTATGGGTTAAATTTCACATTGATTTAATATCAAAATATATATCGACATATAAGGAATCGACCTACTCTCTTAACAATGAACCCATGAAGATAAAATTACAATGAACCCATGAAGATAAAATTAAATGTTAATATAATATCAAATTTCATTAAGATTAAATAAGAAATTCGATCCTATTAAACGACTCAAATGATTACACGGATTTCAAAATCTGAATCATTGTCAATTTCCCTATGCCACCTCCATGTTAACATATAGGTTGTCTACACACTTGGATATTGTTAGTGAGCAAAAATTGTCACATTGGATACGATTTGGGCAACAGTTGCATCCCAACACAATCAAGTCATTTGCCAAAAAAATAAAAGAACCAAAATATTGGGTACATGATAGACAAATGGGCAGAGCGTCAGAATTTAATATTGCATACATTATCTTTTGATCAAACATGTGTTGTTATATATGAATTTATAGTACTTACATATATTAGATACGACATAATCATTGGTCGAGAGTTATAATCATTGTGATATTATTTCCTCGAAAATAAAATTGCCTACTTCATGATTATTTCTTCAAATCATTAAAGATTATGACTGTTTCTTTGTCATTTACATTCGTGGAGTTACTCTCAATGGCCAAAGTTTTCATAACATGAAAGCTAATAAGTAAGATCTAAAAGTACATGACGTCACTACTTAATCCTCGCTTGTTGAATCTATCTACGCTTGTCAGTTTCTATGTGATCATATGGGAGGCTAGCTCAAGGGGAAGGCTTGGCCAATGACTCATCTTTATTTGAAAACTCTGCAACCTATTAGGTGATATTGACATGATGCAACTTTGAGACTTTTTTATTTTTAGGTTTCATTTTAATTACTAAACTCTATCAGAGTAAAGTATGTGTGAAAATGGTATCATTGACTTATAAATTAGTAAGAAAATAGATATAGATAGAGTGCTAGACTCAAGCAAAAATGAAAGTTCACTGACTAGTTTATAAAAAAATGTTAAACGATCAAAGTCAAACAACATTGCAAAATCGTCAATTCAATAGTTGTCTTTTACCGATGTTAAAATGTTGAATTTGTAATCAGATTCATGAATTGCTTGAATCGATTAAAGGAGTTGAAACCTTTTTCCAAGATGACAAATTTCAAAGAGAACACCTAACCTAAAATGAAGACATCTACCAATTTCATGGAAAGGAATGCCCATTATGATCATGTCTGAGCCCCATTATTTAAAACTACTTTTTCTTCCCAACTTTATTTTTAATTACACATTTTTCCGATAAAATATTTTTACAAATAAATTCAAAAAAATTCTCTATTCTTTAGATACATATTTATTCAAAAAATCACTATTATACAAACTATTTTACAAAAATTGGGATTCAAACAAATACATTATTGGATCATGTTATATGTACTGAATTTTTTTTACCAAATCTTTTATTCACAATGAAAATGAGGACTACATTATCGTAATTTTTAAATACACATGGACTCCGAACATTGTGAGCGGGTAATCCATTTATGTTAACCCTACATTGTTACCCCAAAAAAATTCTATCCGCAGCGCAAAACATTGGGGTACAATTGGCGGGAAATTTATTATTCCTGGAATGACAACTTATTCCTCTGTATAAAAACCCTAACCCACATTTCAAAACCCCATTTTTGCTCCCAGTTTCAGAATGTTGAACTTATTCTCATCCGTTGGAGATTAACTTCGTATACTCCCGTAGAAAAATCTTTCCGCGTTCCTTTGCATCGGTTTCTCAAGAATCTAGGGTTTCTTCTCTGCTTCCTTTAACTTATAATAATCGGAAAATAAGTACAACTACCAGTTAAGAATTTTGGGGAAAATGACTGATGTGTTCGAAGCTGAAGGCGAAGGTGAAGCTGAGCCCACGATTTCAATCGGAGACTACCTCAAGGCTGTTGAAGAAGAGGACCTGGTGATTAATTTTTATTCTTTTACGTTTATTTATTTATATATTTATTTTCATTCTCGCTGTCCTGTAAAAATTATTTACCCGCCATCTTGTTATAGCTGCTTGAAAGGTTATTTATTAGTAAGAAATGGTGAAAATTTCTCCGTCTGGTTAGCAAAACCTAGGGCTTGGCTTTTATGGTACCCCCAAAACCATAGAGAATACATTACAAGAGTGAAAGTCGAGCGCTGGATTGTAATATGCAAAGATTCTGTTGACACTTCGGAATTTCAAGGGGCTTGGGAAAGGAAGAAAAGAAACAATTCTCCTCTGAGGATGATTCAGATAGGTGGATTCTGTAGAACGACTTCATATCTTCATTTTCATTAATTGTTTTAAAAACTAGGCGGTTTCTGCAATTCACAAAAGGGCTGCTGACAGTAAACTCCTTTTAAAGTCCTGTTTCATCTGGATGAACAGGCTAAATTATGGGTTTAAGCTATGATGTTCTAACTTTCGAAAAATGGAAAAGTATTCGTGTCGACACTATATGACACATATACTAACACGGGATATGGATCGGATCTTTGGTTTTGCACTCGGACATGGCAGCAAAAGGGAGAAAACGGCAGAAGGTGGAGTTTTGCTTTTGGCTTTGCGTCTGTGGCGATGTGGTTTATTGGCTTTGCATCCATGTCTATAGCAAGTTGGAGTTTTGCTTCTGGCTCTGCAGAAAGAAGATAACGGGAAGACGATTGATTGCCCTAATTGATCGAAGTGTGCTGGTCCGAATTTTGGAATGTGTTATATGGGCTCTTGTAAAGTCCAATGCATAGAGTTAATAAAAATTGAATTTATTGGCATAAGTTGTATAGCCAAACTCATTTAATTGGAGTTTATTTTTGTATTAAATTTCTTATTTCTTACATTTAAAATTTAGTGCTATGTTTTTTTTTTGTATTAAATTTAAATTTATTTCTGTAATTGTTTTTAAATAATATATAAGACATTGAAATTGATCTTTTTCTTTAATTTTTTTTTTAAAAGAATTTATTTTGACTTTAAATTTAAATTGATTTCAAACTATAATTCAATTGTTTAAATTGATTTTATCGAAATAGTTGATAAATAAAAAAACTACGAGTTCATTTTTTGAAAGCCAATATCAATTATTTTGTTACTTTGCCATTGCTCCGCCATTAAAAAAAAAAAAAAGTATCCCGTACCCGTATCCAAAATTCGGACCCTTTTAACCGTATCCTCTCATCTTAATTTTTAAAATGAGAAGAATTTGACTCCTACATATGTACTCCTATTCGACACCCCCACTCGAGTCTGAGCATCATAGGGTTTAAGGATTAGTGAGGTCTTAGTCTCACTAATACCAAACTTTATAGTAATCTTGAAATCACATTTGTGTTAGCTAAGAAATTTTGTTGTTGTAACGACACACAATACCATTCTACTATAAGTACTATACATTTTGTTTTGAGATTGATTTCAGATTACTTGTGGAAATATAATGAAGCTCATTTTTTTGTGAATTGCTTTTGGAGTCACAATAGGCAGTGAGGACAAATTAGAAGTTTTCCGGTTTATTGACCACTGTATTGATTTGAATTCTGAACGATATTTTATAATAAGCTTTTTGAATTGTGAATGTTCTTTGCTAACTGAGCTCTTTCTAGCTTCAGGAGATCGTTGAGATTTCTTATTATCTTGATGATGTAGGCTCCTTTCTTTTAGTTAAATGTTATTCTCTTCGAAAATGATCCGGATTTTGTTGAGTGTTGCTTTTGACCATTATTGGATTACTATAAAGGAAGCGGATCTGGTCTTGGGAGGTGATGAGGGCAAGGAGTGCACATTTAACAAAGGTTACATGAAGAGGCAGGCAATTTTCTCATGTTTGACATGCACGCCAGAGGGGAATGCCGGGGTTTGCACAGCCTGCTCCTTGTCTTGTCATGATGGCCATGAGGTATTGTTTGGTTCATTAACTTAAGTTTATCTGTGTAATCCACAAAAAAAAGTGGGATGCTATCTGTCAGTACATGCACATGCACCAATTAAAGCTGAACTTGTTATGATTATTATTATTTTTTTGTAGAACGACGATCTGAAATATTATTTATTGGATACATTTCAGTGAAACCAATTGTAGCATTATTTTTCATCTGTCAACCTGTTCTTATAATCTTTACATATTTCTATTTTCTACATGTGCTACTTAAGTTGACCTTTATTGGTTTCTCTCCTTGCTGACTACAGTGTTTTCATAAATGTTTCATCGGTTTGGTTTTGTGCTGATAAATCATGTTGATTTCTATAGCTTCTCGCAATGATATGAACGGATATACATTTTTTCGAAGTCTATTAGTACTAGAGCTCTAGAAACTAGTCGGAACATTTTGAAATTTTATGTGAAACTGCACAATGACGATTCTATCTAATAACATATATTACCACAATAATTTTTTTAGTAATATTATATTATTCAGTAGACCTTATTATCATTGTCAACATCAATTATTTGAAAAATATATGTACTTCCTATAATGGATTTTGTAAATAAAGGGGTAGACATGCCTTTCACTATAGGCAAATTGTATTAGGGGTGTGTTCGGTAGAGATTAAAATAAGATTAAAATTGAAAAATTAGTCGTTATTGTTGAATTTTATTAGACGAGTGAGACCCAATAACGGCTATATTTTTAATTTTAATTGGATTTTAAGTTTAGTCAAACATGCTCTAGTTCTCGAAAGTGAGGGCGGAGCCAAGAAATTATTCGAGTGAGGGTGTGACTTAATAAAGGTAAAAATTTCGAAAGATCTAATATCACAACTATTCAAGATGACATAATTTATTCATTACCTTACCATTGTTCTTTTTAAGTTTTCGTACATTGAGATCATTGTATGATGATTTCATTACCAATCTACAAAAATATGTACTGAACATTATGAATACATCATTTTCTGACTAAATTTTACATTAAACAAGGACTCAAAAATTCATTTTAAAAACTATAGTTAAGTTAATAGTTTTTGTGGCATGTGGACCAAGGACAGAGAACTTGAGATTTAAATGGCTAAAGGCAATCTAGGGAAGGGCTTAAAAATAATTTGATGGGATTTTGATATTGAAACCTAAAGAGAAGTATGATTATAAAATTCGAACCATAGAATTCATAATTGGAGCATCTACTTAGTCTGTTGGACCGCGTTGCATGTGGACATGTCTATCTAGTCAAACTTAAATATTGGCCAATTCTTTTTAAAGTTGTCCCTCTTTTCTTCTTAGTTGAGAACTTAAATAAATCCACTCATTTCAAAGTTTCCTTTGATATTACAATTGAGTTTCAATTCAGGACCTATGGGTAATTGTAATAACACTTGCACGATTCAATACTTTGAGAATAGCGGCACAGGCACTTAGTAATTTGTTAGGTCATGGTTTAATAAAAACCAATTCAAACTCGCCTTAAGAGCATCTCCAATAGACTCTCTAAATTTAAAGAGCATCTTCTATCATTTGGAGAGCAATTATTAATTTAAAGAGTTAAAATTTAGAAGTATTTTAACAAACTATTGTTTTATCTTTTATTTTGACTAGTTTTTTTTTAGATTATTTTATTGTTTTCCTACTTTGTAAATTGATACTTTTTGAATGCATTTATAGAGAGTGAGTTTGGCTCTCTCTCTAAATTAAAATGTTAATTTAAAGAGTCTATTGGAGCATGATTTTAAATGTTGACTCTTTCAAATAGAAAGCATCTCATGTTTAAAGAGTCTTGAAAATGCTCTAAGGTCAGCCTCAGATTGAGGTATGTAAAAAGGTCTCAAGATGTTGATTGTGAAAAAATTTTTGGAGGTGTATGCCCCGGTTGTATGAGACGCCTTACAATACCTTTAATATTTTTTTTAGACTTTTTTTTTTTTGCGGTGAGGTTTACATTTCAAAATGCCTCAAGGCTTACGCTCCACCTCATGAATGAAAAAGGCCTTAGTACCTGATTACATGTAAATAGTACCCAATTAAGTTTGCTTAAACATTGCTTTATGTAAAGATTTATTGATCCAAGTTGCAAAGATTTGCAGTGATGGACTCATTGTGTATGTAGCGTTGGAACTCCCAATTAGGCTTGGGGGAGCACTGAATTATAGAATTTGATGTTAAAATCAATTATTATTTTTTAAAAGTATAATAGGCAGGCAGGCCAGCCTGCTGGGCATTTCTGCCCCATCGGGCCCATCCCAGTGAGGGTATGGCCAAGGTCCAGTGAGGGCATGTGCTCTCACAGGCCTTGCATGGGCTCCACTCCTGCTCGAAAGTCTCAAGTTATTCCTTCATCCAATGATGCCTTATTGTGCTGATCGAGCAATTTAATGCACTTTTTATGATTTGGCAAAACAATTTTGTTTATATTAGTCTCCAGTTAGTTGTACGACCTTGAACCTTTGGACTGCTAATGTCTGAATTTAGTGTAATTACATAATTATATAATACTATTGATCATAAAAAATGCTTATGCATATAACTACCTGATTTTTCTTCAAGTCAACAGGAATATTAAAATGAGCAAGAGTATAGTGAATTTGGATAGTTAGTTGAAGCTTCCAAGATTTTACTTCAACGGAGGATTGTGATCTCAACAATCTCTAATATTAGTTGCCAGATTGCAGGCAATGTGTGCTGTTACATATTCTGTTTATTAGAGATGCCAGATTGCAGGCATTGTGTGCTGTTACACATTCTGTTATGACAAAACTGTAGTAGTATTACTGTTGGCTTGTTATGTAATGGTCATTATTTTTTCCTACTTGTCAAGATTGTGGAACTCTGGACCAAAAGGAAGTTCAGGTGTGACTGTGGAAACTCAAAATTTGGGGAGTTCTTCTGCAAGCTTTTTCCAAACAAAGATGTGGAAAATTTGGAGAATAAATACAATCATAATTTCAAAGGAACTTACTGTACATGTGATCTCCCCTACCCTGATCCAAACGCTGAAGAACAAGTAGAGATGATTCAGTGCTATATCTGCGAGGATTGGTTTCATGAAGAACATATTGGTCTGCAGTCTTCTGAAGAGGTTAGCACTAATACCTCTCCTTATTAGGCTTCTTGCATCATATAATATCCACCCCCAACCCCTGGAAAAAAAAGAAAGAAACACATGCAAAACGATTATGTATGTACATTTTGATCTCTAGGTAGCTTAATGGTTTTCAATTTACATTGTTCTTTTAAAAGTCATTTTTAGTTGGGCATATATGGTCTTTGCTTGGATGTCAATGTAGGCGGTATGAATCTGTATTCTTAATTGGGATGTGGTGCATATGTTATGTTCCAACTTATAGTATGAAATTTGCTCCTAGTGTGACTTTTGAGTGTTTTGGAAATGCATTTTTTCTCCCCACCATGGGATAAATATTCTTATACCTGTATTTTGACAAGCATTTGATGATGCATCTTTCTTCTCGGTTTTGGTCTTAATGGCACATCTCTACCTAACCATCATGTTTCATTGCATTTGCTGAATAGCATTTATTGTTTTAGGGGTATTGGATGCAACTCCTCTGTCACGAAGTAGACTTGACTGTACTGAAGGAGTTGTTATGGTCTACAATTTCTTTCCAAACATGCATGGACGAGTTACATTTTCTTACTTTTATGTAAAAAGATACTTATTTGTGAAGTAACTCTTAGTGTCATGTAAGAAATTTAATTTCAATTTTTATCAATAAAAATTATTCGTGTGATAACTTTGTTACTTATATTTAAACTTGGGTAAACATTTTTCTGTATAGATCAACTAATTTCACTGGTCAGGGGACATTTTCAAATCTTTCAACCTTCTAGATTTTATCATGTAACTCTCTCCGGAAAGTTGCTTTCCTTATATTTGTTTATACTTTACCTATTGGAACTTCTCTACATCCTTATGTTTTTCTTATAGATCCCAAGAGATGAAGAAGGCGAGCCTCTATATGAAGATTTTATCTGCCAAGGGTGTGCTGCTGTTTGCTCTTTTTTGACGTACTATCTCGAAACCATTTCAGCATCGATTAGGAACGTGGCAAATTTGACGAAGGAGAAAGCAGTTCTGGAAGATTTGCCTTCTTCTATGAAGTCATGGGGGAAGCTCCAGCATGGAAATTGTTCACTTGACAATCTTGTTCCTAATGCTAATGCAGAAGGTACAACCAATGAGTGCAGCCAAGCTGCTAGCTCGAGCAAGAAGTGTATTCTTGGAATAAACTTGGCTGAAACTCCTCTGACTAGTGACAAAAGTAAATCAATGTTTCTTTTTAAAAACTGGAGAGAAGTCCTTTGCAGATGTGATACATGTTCGGACTTCTACACTCAGAAGGGAATCAGCTTCTTGCTTGACAAAGAGGATTCCATTGCTGAGTACGAGAAAGTGGCGAAGCAGAAGAGGGACGAAAATTTGCAGAAACAAGAGGGTGACTTTCTCAATACATTAGGTCACGTTGAGAAGATGGAGATTCTAGGTGGAATTGCTGACATGAAGGACGAGCTTCGTTCTCTCCTGGTATGACTGCTTATATTTTACTCTTATTATATGTTGGGGTAGATTACACAGTGTGACAATTTTTTAGAAAAGAGGGTAAATTCCACCAAGGGTCTCCAAACCTTCGTGTGATATTCATGTTCCCAACCTTGGTTCGTACCATCTCGTGTCCACAACCTTTTACATTGTGCACGTGGTACTTGATGGTGAACGTCTAGATAGACGGTAAAATGCTTGATAAATGAGTGCTGGGTTTCACTGGACAAAATAATCTTCTCCATTACAGAAACCAAATGATGAACTTTTCAATGATGGATGGTACGATTATAATTTGGACAATTATTTTTGGAGGGACATTTTGTTCAATTATACCTACCAGTTATTTATTACGTACCCATCGGTGATCTTTTATCGTCTGTTTAGATATTTTCAATTGAGTTGGGATACCGTGCGCACAATTAGAAGGCTGGGGACACGGGGTGGTACAAACTAAAGGTTGGGGACATGGATGTCACACTTGGGAAATGTTGGAGACACCAGGAGGAATTCGCCCAAAAGAGAAAGAAATTATGTTCTATTATTATACTGTTCCATTCCGTCCCGTTGGGTACCATGTACCACACCCTTGGGAGTTGGGACGTTTTGTGGCAGTCATCACTCTTCAATGGATTAATTTTCATATTTCCTTTATCTCAGGAATCATCTGACCCCTCGAAACCTATCACGACTGCAGATATCCATCAGGTTTTCGATAATCTTGCCAAGAAGAGAAAGCGCAATCCGTAAGTTATGAAATGATACATATAATGCAAATGCTGTTGGAGCCTTAACCGTACAATTATGTAGTAATGGAGCTGTTTAATTTCGGAAAAACCTACACGGCGGAGTAGTTTTGGTGCTATGTAAGCGTGAAGATGTTATATAGACTGGTCTAGGATCGGCTGCTTTTGTAATTATTTGACTTTTATGACCTTCTGTCTCTGTTTCTATGCACATTCGTGTGTTTGGGTGCATTCTTTTGTGCTTTCAATTTGTGAACTAATTTCTTTAGCCTATCGTAAAAATTAAAATGCCTGACTTTTTCTAAATATATATAGTCACCTTTAAGAGTTAAGATAAATCGGTAATTAAGTATAAACTGTTGAGAACAATCTAAAATTTCATACCAGAAATAGGCAGAGGGTATTAATATTTTTAAAATGCAAGGGGATGTCTATGATATTAAGAGCAAGGTGAGAAGAGGTTAGGCCATCTCTAGTGCTGCACTAAATTTTGCACCAAACTAAAATTCATCTTCAACCATTACATCAAAAGTTATACTAAATGAACAGTGTTTAATCATTTTCGTGTCTTT